AATCAAGTAAGTCTTAATATGTATAGAATAATTTCTCTCCCAAAATTATTTATTTAGATGGTTTTAGTTATTCTGGGACTTATGACTTTAGACCCATGACCATGTGAATTTCATAATAAACTTATTGTGTGAAAAAAAAAGTTCCTGAAATTTTGAGAGCAATTAAATTAATAGATCAATATGGGGCAAATTAACATATTAATTAAATCTGCCAATCTATGAACACAGTATTACTACCTGTGTATTTAAATATTTTTCAACTTGTCTTCCATCAGTATTTTGTAGGTTTTGTTTTTAGCATTTTGTAGTTTTAAGGATACAGACATGTTTTCTAAAGATATCCCCCTAAACATTTTATTTGTTAGAAGTGATGCACATGGTATGATGTTATTTTCTGAATGTCATTATCCATATACAGAAATAAAAATGATTTTTGTTCATTACTCTTGTATCATGTGACTTTGCTGAATTTACTTATATGTCTTTTTTGGTAGTTTTCTGGGCATTATTATGCCCTTTAAAATAGATTATTTTTCTATCTTTATAATCTGTATTCTTTCATTTCTTTTTCTTTCCTTATTATTCTGGCCAGCACTTCTAGCACTATCTTGAATAACAGTGTTCAGATCAGACCTCTCTTTTCCTTATGGTTAATCTTGGTGGGTGTCACCCATCCTTTTGTAATTAAGCACAATGTTATATATGACCTTCTGTAGATGTCCTTTATCAAGTTAAGGAAATTCTGTTCTAGTCCTATTTTTCTGAGACTTTTTTTATTGTGAATTTGTGTTGAATTTGGCCAAGTCTTGTTTTGAGTCATCTGACATGGGAATATAATACTATACTCTTCAGGAAGCGGAGATATTTAAGATTTAAATATTACCTATGTCATCTTAGAAATAATATCCACTTAATTCAATAATAAAAATCTATTATAAATAAAGAGAAAGCACATTTGAAAAAAGAAAGCATGTGAATTTTATCTTTTAGATGTAATTTCATCAACTAGAAGTGATGTTTTCTGTAATCCCACCCAGAAATATATTTAGACTCATTTTTTCTAGTACACACACACACATCTTTCTTACTTATAAATTTGGAATTTTGCCTCATTGGTGATTTTAATACTTTAGAGTATTAGTTTTCATCTCTCAAAACTCTATGTTTAAAGGCAATTTAACTGATCTGGTAATAAATCTGAGTTAATGTCCCCCCTCTCATGATTGCAATGGATGATACGATTCTATATATTCTATTAATTCCTGTGACTATATTAGTAATTGTAAAATTAATGAATAATCAAATCTAGTACACAGGAAATAAAACAACATTATTGCATAGAAAAAAAATACTAAATTAAATAGTCAACACCTTAGAAATAAGCAGAGGAAATCCGGTGTCCTGCTATAATTCTTGTCGTAAGGATAAATGAGAAGTAATGGTAATGTACTGTCCTTTGGAACATTTGACAGATGTATATTTTCCTGTATTTTATTGTGTTTCATGTGATCCTGGTAGCAAATATAATTACACAAGGACACATTGCTGATCTGTATTTACAGTACCTTCTTTTCCTGTTTCTCTTCTTTTTGTGAATTCTATTCTTCTACTGAACATATTCAAGCATTTTGAAAAGGTTGGATTTAGCTATTAATGTATCTACATATTTATGACTACTGTTGATAAATGTTTGTGTTTACTACTTTGATCCGTAAATGGAAAAATACATTTAAGTTGATTTATTTTTAACATCTTGTCATCTGTGACAGAGTTTGACTTAAGAATACTGAGCAGTTTAACCTGCCAATGTGAACTTTACAACTAATTTTCTATGTACTATATCACCTATATTACTTGTTTTCTATGCGTTTATAACACTAAAGACCATGCAGCCTCTTTCTCTATTTATCTCTTCTTACATTTGTCAAATATTTATTCAATTTCCACTGTTTTCCTGAATTTATGTTAAATGTTAGTGATAGTTATTATATATATGTGTGTGTATCAGAGAGTTTATACACACATACATGCAAATACCCATTTTATTTGTTTCAATACACATGTGAACATATGCATATGTGAATTTATCACGTTTTTGAGTTTTTAAAATTAATTTTATTAGTACATTTCAATATACACAATGATCACATTCATCACAGGGAATTTGTGTCTGTACATAATATGTCTTTTCATCTCCTGTCCAACCAGCATAGATCGTCACTAGCAGTCAATCAAGTGGTTCAAGTTTATATTTGAGTTAGGACCCTTTTGCCATTATGGCTATATAGACTTTTCCCAAGTATCATTACAAAGAACCATGATCTATGACAAATGATACATGGAGCCTAAATCACCTTTGCATGCTTGATTAGGTGGGTTACAAGTTAAAAGAAAGGCTGGAAATAAAATCACATTTTAAGTTTGTCTAACTTCTTTCAAATCCTGCAAAGGGAACATTCAGAGTCAAAGTTTGGATTGGATGTGGAGTAACTTGCTCTGTGGGTGTTGATTTTTGCATTTTATATTGACTTTTTTTTGGTACCAGGGATTGAACTTGGGACCTTACATTTACAAGGCAGGCAGCGGAACTACTAAGTTAAATCCCCAGCCTAAAGAAATTCATCTGCCACTTTCATGTAGTTAATTAGAAGACTTGATTATATTTGTGTGTGTGTGTGTGTGTGTGTGTGTGTGTGTGTGTGTGCACGTAGCAGGCAGGCATCGAACTCAGAGCCTTGCACTTGAGAGACAGGCAGCAGAACCACTGGGCTAAATCTCCAGCCCTATATTGACTTCTTACCATGAGTCAGCTTGTCATTTTATAAAATCATCACATAGTAAAGTACATTAAGACTTCTCTTCTAGGTAATTCCCTTCTATTTTTTTCTCTGTTTTATTGTAATATTTCTGATGAATATGATGGTGATCATTCTTAATGATCAAAACCACACACACACACACACACACACACACACACATATATGGTAGACCTAGAATGGCAGAATTTAAAAAAAGTGTTTAAAAGATACTGGATAGAAACTTGCTATTAAAATATATGTAGCCTTCTGATGTTACCATTTAGCCTGAGATTATGGCAAAATGATCAAGATGTGGTTTGGTGGACATCTATTTTTTTGTCTTATATCCACCCATCCACTTCAAAACAACAAAATCCACTTTTCTTTATGCATTCTTTGTATGTGGTGTTTGTATCAAACTAACTTCGTCCTTTCACTCTAATGGTGGCACACATAGCCAATCAGATTACTGTTTCGGTGGCCACTGTTTGGTTTAGAAATGTGCTTGTGATCTTTCACTGTGAGACCAATGAAACATAGTCATAGTTTTCTTGCTTCAACTATTGAGAAAAAAGGAAGCATATTCTTTCTTCTTTGGATTTTTAAGTTAGTAGGGGCAAGTTCAAAAAGGTTCGGTGCCATCCTTGATTGCTTAAAAAGTTTGCGCCAAGGAAAGAGGAAAGTAGAGCTCATAAAGCGTAAAGGAAAATCTGTACCCTGATGATGTCTTGTTTAAACAAATGAAGAAATTCTCACTTTTAAGTTTTACTTCTGTTCATTGTCACGATAACAGCTTTCACTAACAGTGTGTGTCATAGACTTACTGATAAAGAGCCATGGAAGTTCATGCTTTAGGTCTGGTGGTATGTTTGTTCCTTCTTGTGATTCACTGGTAGAATATTTAAGTGTGTGTCTACAAGTAGATGTGTACACATAAACACAAGTGCCCATACATGTGTATGTCTAACTTCACAAAATAAATTTTAAGGGCTTATAGCTATGAAAAATTTGACATTTGTTGTTCTGACATAACTAGATCTCTTAGCAGACTGTGCAGCGTGGGCAACATAGCATCATGAGGTCATCGGGCATCAATCCTCCTTCAGTCTTTCTATTTGGACTGCAGCTTTGTGTAGGGCTTCTTCTCATACTTACTTCACGTGTGCGCTACCATCATATGTATGTTACAAGCAGGCAAAGATGGCATGGGGTTTAGTAAAAGAAAAAATATACATAAGAGAAAAGAGAAGAATGTAACTGTACTGTATACCTAAAATGTTCCAATAAACTAAAAAAAATAAAGTAAAATAAAGAATCTGCTCCAGCTGGGCGTGGTGGTGCAGGCCTGTAATCCCAGCACTCAGGAGGCTGAGGCAGGAGGATCACTGTGAGTTCAAGACCAGCCTGGGCTACATAGTGAGTTCCAGGTCAGTCTCAACTACATAGTGAGATCCTATCTCAAAAAAACAAAAACAAAACAAACAAAGAATCTGCTCCACCCACAGAAAGCTTACCAGAAACTTCCCATTGATTCATTCTCATTTACACCTCATTGAGTAGGATTTACATAATGACCCTTCCGCGTAAGAGGCTGGGATATGAAGTATTTTACCTGCAAGTTAAGAACAAGAAAATGGATATTAAGCAGGCGATATTCATTCTTGCTACAGGGTTCATTTTAGTGCTAGTGTTTTCTCATTTTTATGATATAGTTGGTTTGCAGTAACTAGATAAACAAACATGGATGACTTACAGTTCTAGTTCCCCACAGAGATGCCCACTGAATCAGAATCTCTGGTGTCGGTGCCCAGGAATTTTTAATAAGATCTCATGGGTCTTCTTCCTATAATCCTAATTCAATGGATTTGAGCAATTGAGGGCTGAGGTTCCATCCAACATTTAAATGTAGTTTTGAAATTTTAACTTCACAATTATCCATTACCCTTCTCTCACTCTAATATATATATATAATGCATATATATACATATATAGATACATATATATTATATATATTTTTTTAATCCCATTTAATCACCTTAAACTACAGTATCTTATAATTTTGAGTTTGTGTAATTGCATTTGTGTGTTATTTCTGGTTGTAATATTTGTGTAATATTTCTGATTTATCTTGAAATCTAACTCAATCTTTAAAAGAATTTTAATGCTTCGTATTCAGTCTCTAAAAGGTATTTTGTTTTTTAGAGAAAGAAACAGACAGAGCTGAACTCCATGATATGAAGATGAAGTTAGCTCAGGAGGTTGTATCTTCTTTTGAATCATGGACTACACATTTGAGAATGTATGGAACTCAAGAGCCCCAGCAAAATGAGTGACTGCAGGAATAGGTGAGAATCCCATCCTCCCTGGACACTTCTGGAGTCCAGCTGGTCTCATGGATTAACCTAGTGACAGCAAGAGCAAGCAAGGCTCTTTTTCTATCTTTGGATGTGGTGTCCAGTTTAGTTCAGGAGAACAGAGAAGAAATATAGCTGTGGAATCTGAAATCATGGAGAAAAAATTAGGCAAAATGTGCAATCACAGACTCTTCACGTCTGTTGATGAAAAAACTCTTTCTCTTCAAGGGGATAATTCTCCTATCAGCAGACACCAAAACCAGGGAAATAGAAACTAAAGGACAGAAAATGTTATCCAGCAGTTTCAGCCTAATTTAAGCTCAAAACTGGCCTTTAAAGACGAGTAACTCAGTATTGTATTCATTGAGGCATTGAAAACAAGTGGGATGCTGCTGTTAATTCCCATTTCTTTTGCTTTTGTATTTATCCTTGAGTAATGTGTGATTTACTATCTGTGTAGGTATAGGTTAACAAATACTATGAAATCTTTAAAAATCATAAATACAGATAACTTTCAGAATAACTAAAGACATCAAGGTGAAGACAAAAGGTAATACATGATAATGTATGTGACTTCATGGACTAGGTGTGGCGAGGAATTAAAATGGCCCATTCAGATCATAGATTAGTTGAATAATTGAACAAAACTAAGGATTTATGTTCAAAATATACCATCCACAAAGTTAAGAGATGAAAGATTGGGAATTGATCATTGCTATGCCTTAGTTTGATACAGAACTGAATTTTGTGATGTACCAAAATACTCAATGGAATATATTCAAAATATGGACAAAGGATCTATACAGAAAATTCCCAGAACAAGAGGCTGAAAGCTTATAAAGATAACTTAAATGCAATTAATAACTCGAGGAATTCACACTGTGACATCAATAAGCTTCTATCACTTATTAAATAAGTAGGCTGGATCTGACAAGGTAGTGAGATCATGAAAATAATATGTATGATTTTGGAAAGGAATCTAGCCACACTTGGATAAATTGCATAAAAGGTGAATGCCTAAAATATTCCGGCATCTGTATGTAAAAAGGAAAATTGTCTTCTAAGTCAATAACGATGCTTCTTACAGCTTGGTGAGTAGGATGTAAACCAAGTACACCTCTGGGATGATAGGTTAATAGAACAAAGTAAGTGGAGCACTCTTCTGGTTTTGAATCACATAAAGGCAAACTGTGGAACAAAGATACTATATTTAGGGTGTGCAGAAAACAGGTAGGGGTGTGGAAAGTGCCAAACCAAAGGGAAGGTAGTAGCCAATAAATAATGAAACATCAATTCAATTACCAGCTTCTGGGACACAACTGTCTGGGTAAACTCTGGGGTCTCTCAGGGAGAAATTCTAGCCAAGAGCTCTCCAGGGACAAGAGACAGAGCTGGAGTTTTCCTACAACAACTTTGATCAGCCATTAACTGAGACTTTCCCTTAGCTCTTTAGTTGTCCTGTGAGCAGTAGCATGGTCTCTGAAGGCCATAGAAAGCCTTCATGCAATGAAAGGCAAGTTAAGTCATTTGGAATTTCACAGGTGTGCACTTACATGGGAGAGCAAAGGAATCTTTTGGGGCCCTGACTATGTCTGTAACAAATCCTAAGGAATAATTTAAAAAAAAAAAAAAAATCAGTGAAGTAATGGGCGTGGTGGCACAACCTGTAATCCCAGCACTGGAGAATCTAAGGCAGGAACAAACCCAAACAAAACAATGAAGTTACAGAAAAAAAACATAGCAAGATCCTAAAGAATGTTACAAATGAAATAGAACAAAATATAATGAGATCTATTGTATAGTCCTATTTACATTAAGTAAAAATACTTGCAGAGGAAAAAAGCAATGATACCCATTTCACAAAAAAATATACACGAGACAAAAATCACAGATAAAATGGTTGCCTCTGAAGAGGGAAAAGGGTGGAGAGTAGAGAATTAAAGAGAGGGTCCTCTAAGAATTCTTAATATTGCACCATGAATTGAGAAACTTTTAAACTATGTTTCATTAAGTTCCCCCAAAAGTTAATTTTTTAAAAATTCCAATGTTTCAAAACTGCCTTTCTCTAATGTTATTTATTTAAGTAAACCTAAAATCACTGAATTTATTTTGGTATACAAAACCAATTAAAATTAGGTACTAGATTTCAGAAAACAATAAAATTGAAAGTTTGCTATTTTAGCACACATAGGGAGATTGAGTTGCTAGCCCTACTACTACTAATGTTAATGATACAACATTTACATTATATACATGTATATATTACACTTAGGGCATAATAAGCTGGCATTTATGAATTAAGTGCTTTGTAAACTTTTTATAAAATCACATCAAAATAATTTTCAGAAAGGTAAGTTTGTCATTTAAATTTCCTTTAGACTCTTTCTAATTCCTAGATGTACAATATTGTTGCATATTTTAAAGTGTGATAAAATATCTCCTTACCTTGAGACCTTCATAGAAAATTGTAAGAAGCTTGATATTTAAAGGGAAGAAGTACTTTTATATGAATCATTTTGTAAATATATGTATATATATGTATATATATATGTATATATATCTTCATTGAAGACTGTCATGTTACTATGAATCAGATGCATAAATCTGTTTGCCCTTTCTTTTAACAAGTGAGTTTAATCCATTTATGTTTATCATTATCATTTATCTATTTGCTTTCCCATCATATTTTTCATGTCAGTTAATAGTAACTCCATTTCCATTTCCAGTGATGAAAATGCTTGGAGTTGTCTTCCATTTTTCTTCTACCCCATGTGCACTTTTTCAGTGACTCTCTCTACAAAACCTCACAGAATCTGATGCCTTCTGCTGTACCCTGTTCCTCCTCTCTGTGCTCAGCCACACTGGCTGCCCCTGCCTTTGGATTTGCTCTTCTTACTTTCCTTTTGCTCTGTTGTTTTCTTCTATTCTGCCCCAAATGTCACTTCTTCATGTCTTTATGTCTTTTTATATCTCCTCTCAGTGAATTGTCCCTGATTATCCCATTGTATATCATCCCTTCCTCTTGCACTTTCTCCACATACTGGCCCCATAGTGATTTCTCTAATTTCCTTATCCAAGCACAGAATGGTTTTGAAATTTCTAGAATTGCAGTACTGAAAGCAGGGAGAAATTTTTTTCTAGGTAAGACCTAGCAGACATGGTAACAGATTGGCTGCTAGGCACAAGGGAGAAGCAGAAGCAGCCCTCTGCTAAATAGCCTTTAAAATTAAAGTACAAAGCAAACTCCCACATATTGTTTGGTAGATAATTCTTAGAGAAAGTGTACAAAATCTGTAATGAAGCACCATGTGGCCGTTCCAGGGTGTTATATGTCTCAGAAAATATGGAAGTATGTTGATTCTTAGTCTTGCTTAAAGGCAGGAGACAGTCATAAAACACAATTTCACACTTAACGATACTCACTTCCCTTCCCTTGAAGAGCAGGCTATGCCAGTGCCTGAAACCAAAAGCAAGCTGAGTAGCTTGACAAAGACCCAGGCTTGTTCCTGCAGCTGCGGCTTGATAGTGGAATTGGGAAATTAAAAGTTTTTAGCTTTCCCTAAGCTGTTTTCTTACAGATGGTACTGGGAGTTGCTTTTGTATGTGTATTGTATATGATCGTGGTTCTGGCCAAGAAGAAAAAGCTCACAGGACTATCTACTCGCTCACTCAATTTCCTAAGGCAAAAATCAAATTAAGATAAGAATATTAATAGGTAACTGCAGCCTCTTAAAAATATAGGTTTGAATAGAGGATTTTAAGTGACTCCTTTGGGGTTTACTTACTTCATATACAGTCCATAAATCATGCAGGCATTTATTACTATGGTGAAATGGAATTCGTAGGACTGCTTGTATTTACTCGTAAGTTTGAAGTATATATATTTTTTTAAATATATAGACTGGTTTATAATGTGATAAGCATAAAAATGACATAAGGAATATAATTAAGAAAACTTTCAAAAACTATGATTTCTTCCCTCCTAGATCTTTTATTTTTGTGGAGGAATTACCATGCAGCAAAACACTATGCGTACATTCATTTTACTTAGCCGTACTAGCCAACTTCTCTGCTGAAGTGTCTATTGCAAATATTTTTCTACAGAAGAAGAAGATAGGATTTAGATTTCTTGCTTTCACTCATTCACTTCATAAAAATCAGTGCCAGGTTGATAGGTTTGTAAATATTTACCTGGGTAACAGACCCAAAGTGAACATTTTCCCACTGCGCAATGTTCTCTCACCATCATAGCTAAATAAGTAAAAATCTGCATGTAAGGAATTTTTTAAAAAATTAATTCATCAAGAATTATACAATTAGTATTTATTAATAAAAGCTTGAAAAAGAAACACTTTCACTTGAAAATCCTGCAGCAATGATTTTTCTTAATCTTCTAATATTTTTAATATTCTTACGTAGTATTTTGGTTTATACTCTCAATTTTCATGTATCATTAGAATTTTGCATTTAGCTTTTCAAAGGGATATATGCATGATAGATTTTATTTTTTTCTCATTGAGTTTATTGGCATATTTTAGGTAGACAGTACAGTTAAATTCATCACTGGGCTCTTGTACCTTTACACGACAGGTCTTGGTTCTCAATTTTTCTCCTTATCCCTGCCCTCCCTTCACCCCCTCCTCCCTTCCCTATTTACAAATACTTTATTTCCATTTTTTTGTTTAAATTGAATTTATTGGTACATTCTAGGTAGACAGTACAGTTACCTTCATTACTGGGATCTTGTACCTTTACATGACAGATCTTGCTTCTCATTTTTCCCCTTGTCCCTGCCCTCCCTTCACCCCCTCCCCCCCACCTACAAACACTTTATTTCCATTTTTCCATTTTCTCATGTTTTTTCCCTTTCCCTTATTTCCCTTCCCCTACCCTTTTGTCCTTATACCTTTAGTCCTTTCCTTCCTGTTTCACATTGCTAATTAACCCATTAGGATCTTGAGTACTATTTTAGTTTTTCACATCAGAGAAAC